TTCTGAGATAAAAAAAAAATACTAACTTAAAAATAAACAATGGAAACTGGGGCCTTCACCTCTAAAAGCATTTCATATGCTAACTCTTACTCCAGGTCTACACCGTTTAGACTTAGGCTAGCTATGCCACTCGTACAGGTGGCGGGCAGCGCTGTTACGCACTTCTTGGTGGCACTGCTGTAGTAGGTGTTGCCCGGACAGGTGTACAGCTGGCCCAGCCAGTTGTTGCCCAGCCGGAAGCAGCTGACGTACTGGCGACAAGTGCTGCTGGCAATGGTGCCAACGGGAAAAGTGTCCTGGACCTGCATCTTGGCACAATAGGCGTCCGGATTGCTAGTGGTTGGAGCCACGGTGGTGGTTGTGGTGGTGAAGGTGGGTGTATAGCAGTTCGCAGGCATTGCGGTAACGCACGTTCGCATCGTTGGGCTGAAGTACGTACGGCTTGGGCATTTGTATCTTTGTCCTCGCCAAACGCCACCTGACAGGTAGCAATAGATGTACTGCCTACAAGTTGTCTCCGCGTAATCGCCTGCTGGATAGTAGCCCTGGGCTCGGATAGTCGAGCAGTAGGTGTTGGGATTTTCCGGCGAGGGCGTAGCAGGTGCGGTTGTTGTTGTCGCTGCTGTTGTCGCCGGTGTTGTCGTTGTCGTTGTCGTTGTTGTGGTGGTTGTTGTTGTTGTGGGATCATCTGCATATGAGCAGGTGGGCATCACCTGCGTCTCCAGTCCACAGATCTGCGTGGCATTCATGTTGCACACATAGCCGGCCGCACAGCTGCCACTTGAATTCTGGGGCGTGGTCGTGCCCAGACAGAGGGCAAAGGTGCTAGTCGAGGTGCAGGCAAAGGTCAGGTTAGCATCGCACTTGTTGCAGTCCTGGCAGTCGGCTATGGTGGTGCTGTTATTCGGCAGGCAGAGCACACCACTCGCACCACTCACGCACGAGTAGCCGGCGGGACAGCTGGTGGGTAGGCGAGAGGGCAAACCATTTGCATCACAAGCTTGAAATTGGCTAGACGAATAGCAGGCCATGTTGTTGACCGGATTGCACACATTACAGGTTGCCTTGGCTATGGCGACCAGACAGAGCAGCTGCAGCAGGCAGCCAAATAGTTTCACCTCAGTTGTAGACATTTTCACATTGCTTCATTCTTGGACTCCAGCTGCTTAAATACGAAATTCGGCAGCAATTTTCGGCTTAACCTTGCCGAAACTTCAATTTAGATAAGCCAGGGGCAGCATCAACGTTTGCTTGTCTTATCACCTGCCCATAAAAAAGGTACTCCAACTAGATCTCATGCTCACTTTCTTAGTGCCATTCATCCGAGCTGTCTACAAGGAGAAATGCTTAGTTCCAAGAATTTGACTTATGTTCAAATTAGATACAATTTTGAACTTATGATATATAAAAATATGGACATAAATGTGTATACACTATATGCATGTATGTACATATGTAAAATAATACATGTATGTGACTCTTAAGGCATTTAAATATAACCTCTCCTTCAATTTATTCTAGGGTTATTATTATGCTTAATTCAGATTATTCACATTTATTATATTGTTTATAATTTAACAACATTTTTGTCAATATAGATTATTTAATATAACCATTAGCGAAAATGAATCTTAAGTAAATATTTTGTTGCATACATTCAGGCGACGCAGTTTATTTCCACATTTATTTTATATATATACATTTTATTTATATTTTGAACTTTTATTAAGCCATACACCAGTATATAGTATTTGTAAAAGTTTTGATTAAGTATTTATTTTTTTTGTACATACATACATACATATGTATTTTTTTCATTTAAATTCATTGAAGCCTATTTTAGGCACTGCAGGACATTTAGACCAATTCCAGACAAATTTTAACCTCATTTTATCCTATTTCTATCCAATCATATCCCTCTGCTGTTCAGAGAATGCAGTACTTCTGCCTTCGGCTGTTTTTATGTACCGGTTTCTCAGCATATTAGATCCTTTTTTTTTTATCTAGCACAGAGCTCCTCAGTAACCAGTCGCCTGCAGCTCATATTTAATCTGCTAAATTGCTAGTATTTTATTAAGCTAAACTAATTCAATGCTCACCCCAGCCAAAGTTTAATATCTAATTAAAACATATGTACAACACTCCATATGAAATCAGTTGCACTGCCTGAGAGATTGCGTTTGCCTTGACTGTGAACGAGTGGGGCCATGGCCAATAATAAAATGCCACGCTCTCAGCCAACCACACTTCATTCATATAACGGCACCGTGCGTAAGCGTGCGTAACTCGTTTCGGTCATGTTGCAAAATGTCAACGGGGCTTGGCAACTGACGAGACTTGACCAAGCAACTGCTTAACCAGGTTGACAAATGAAATGAGAAACTTCGCATACTCTAACATGCGCAACACAACAGTGAGCAGCCACGTTGCTCCGACTGTTAAGTAACAGTTCTGTGTAAGCGCTGTTATCCGTTATCCGTTTGAGTGAATTTGAGTGATTATCCTAAGTTATAACTAAATTACTTTCAACTTCTTCTATTTCAACTATTTCATGTTTAATCTGGAAACCAACATACCCGCTTTTTGCCACAGACTGACCATTGAGTAGTAAAGCATATGATAGCTATAGAAATACCAAGACATAAGTCAATTCTATTGGCCAGCTGCTGGCCCAGAAACGAGTTCGTTTCGTGTTTTTCTTTTATGGATGAGTTTTTGACTGCAAAATGCCAACTTGATGCCACAGCGGTTGAACTGAACTTGACACGATTTGCGACGCTGCTTGCCACAGCGGGTTACGGATTGTTGCTGCAATTGTTGTAGTTAGTTTGAACTAATTGAGGGCAGTGCAAGTGCCAAAGTGACAGAGCTTAAGTCATTACATTATGTCATTGGTCATTAGCTATGGCCCATTAATCATGCAATCCGTTCATGCCCAAGTTTCTCACAGTGCTGCGATTTTTTTTTTTTTTTTTTTTTTTTTTTGCATGCAAACATCATAAAATTTGAAAGTGTAGCTCGAAATTATAGCGTAGAACTGCAGCTCAGCACGGCATCAATTTGGGGCCAACGCCTCGAGAACGTGAACAAAACTAAAAGAGCATTTTTTTGAGGTGTGTGGCTTTGTCTAGTGTCTATTGTTTGATTTTAGAATTTTATTAATAATAAAAAATAAATGAAGCAAAAACAGTTTGAATTGGAACTCAGCTTCCTCATGCTACTATTTTAAAACTCATTAATTTTGAACAGTCTATGTATGTGTATATAATTATATATATACTAGATGGAAACATATGTGCATATTTATTATATTTAATTTTATTTTTAATTATTTACATTTTTTTTTTTTTTTTTTTTTGGAATTTGAAATTTGTTGTCCAAGTCTTTTGTTTTGTCCGCCAACCAGTTCATGGCAAGCATATAATGCAATTGCTACGTCACAGCGACTCTAGCGACAGCAACTGTTGCTGGCATGCATTGTTGTTCATTTACCCACTAACCCACAATTGCATTGGATAGGCGCTTTTGCTCTCAACTGGCTTTGCCTAGTTTTCCCATTTTCATTCACTGAATCTCTGAGGCTGCAGCCACACCCAAAACTGATCGAGTTTACCAGAAGGCAAATGCAAGAAAGCGAATTCAAATTGACTCACGATTGTTTGTTTTTTGCTTTTTTCCCCTATTTAAAGCTCCTTGCAGGGGGCGATGTGTTACGTGATGCAGTTAGATTGAATTCATGATACTTGCGGGGAGTATAAAAAACTAGAGTTGCCTTTTAGACAAATTTAAATATATATATATATTTTTAGTTCACCTCAATTGCTCAATATTAATATGCCATGCCGGAAGCAATTTACAGTCACAGTCTGGGAGAACAGCAGCAGGTAGCCAGTATTACGAGAGAAATACATTTGACTAACTCTTGTGGCTTACTATGAGTCATTTTGGGAGCATATACTGTAAGAAACTGTTGACGCTCTCAAGGCCTCACTAACCGCGCCTTGTACAGCAGCTGGACTGAATCCAAATTAAGATTAGAATAATTCGCAGCCCATTAGAGTTTATTCTTTCTTATCAATGGCGCAATAAGGATCATCCTGAAAGTCCCCGCTGGCTGTCAGCTAGCTGGCCAAACAGGAGAGAGCAACTCAAACTTGGCCAATTCCCCAGGGCGTTTTACGCACTGGACAGGCCAACTTCAGCTTGTTGCTGTGCCTGGGCAAACTAAATACAGCTAGGTTGACTGCTGTTGGTGTTGACACCCACCCACACACACACATTCACACACATAGAGGCAGCATAACTTCAAGTGGTGTCAAAGTACACCCAGAGAGCCCTCAATCTGTGATTATGGCTGCAGCCGCAGCCACACGTCAGTTGTGTAAGCGATTGCCAACAATTGTTGCTGTGGTTAACGAAACGAGAACGTCAACAGTGGTGCAGTGGTGCAGTGGTGCACTGGTGCACTGGTGTCACAGATCATAAGAAGCGGCATGCCACAAAAACCCAACAATTGAGACATGGCAAATATACATTTGCCTGCCCGCTCAGATTCATTTACATTTTCACTTTCATTTTCACATCATCAACAACAACAACAACAGCAACAACCAGAACAATGAGTCAAAACAATTATGTATAAATGATTTTGATACGGATATACGTACTAACACACCCATAAGGCGTTTTGTTATTGACCCGTAAAACACCTCTGAAAACGATTAAGCTTTAATCTTGTCGGCACTGTGGTCAATCTCTGTGGCATTTCAATTCGTCCAAATCGTTTCACTTCCATTCGTAGCCGCAGCTCAAGGTCACTGCGTAGTAGACCAAATAATCAATTTAAAAATTCCCAGCAACTAATTGGAAATAAAACGAAGAACAATTGTTAAATTCAAATTGAAGAAATCAAATGAAATAAAATAACATTTTAATGCCCCAATAATTTACCCATTATAATTTATACATAATTATTTGAATTCATACATATTCAGACTACCTGAGTGATCTGATACAATTGCTCAAAAGGCCATAAACCATTTCTATGCTCGCCGAGAGAACGAGTCACAGGCAACGATCTGTGTTTGCTTTGTGTGCACTCGGCATCAACTTGGAGCTCTGCTGGAGCTTCTGTGGAGATGATGAGCCCGCCAGGTAGGCGAAGAGCCTAGGTTGCCATGCAATCGCAATCGTAACTAAGTCAACAATTGTTAGCGTGAAGCACCCGCAGCTAGAAAAGTGTATATGGCCAAGCTTGAAGTGTTTACAAGCAACACCCAATCGCAGACAGCAGACAGCAGACAGCAGACAGCAGACATCAGACAGCATCTGTCTTAGACAAAATCACGAGGGAGTCGATTCGCTCTCAGGTAGGTCTTTTCCACGAATCCGGTTGCAGCTGTGGGGCGCGTTTATTCTCAGCCTCTAACTTGATGCATTTCGCATAGACCGGATCTAATGCGAAGCGAGACGCAAGCGATTACTGCACGGCCTGCATAATTAAATGAAAAGGAAACGAACAATATGGCAAAACTCGAATACCAATTGGAGCAACGGCAGCAAGAATAAACACGTTGTTTGCGCAAAATTTGTAATTGTCATTGTTGGGTCTCTCGCTGCTGTCAGGCCGTCCAGTCTAGCCGTCACACTGTCCAGCTACAACAGCTGCTGCAGCGGCTGTAAAGCTATCTACATATATATTAAGTGTTGCATATGGATATTTTTATGATATACACAATATTTTCTTATAGTTATTCCAAAATCCGGATTGGTTTTTATTCATATTTTGAGTATGGAGTATTGCCATTCCTGGCTACATGTGTATATAAAAGGTTTTTTAAAAATAGTTTTATGTATTTACAGTGTGGGTTAAAAGTATTCACCCGATATTTTTTTGCTACAACTTAATATTAAGGCAGCAAATGGCGCCAAATTTTTAATTCGAATATTACAAAGTGCAAATAAGCTCGTGGATTTAAAAATATCATATGTATTATTATATATTTTATATA